GGGAGGAACGCCTGGCTGGATGGCCATAAATTCCCTCCCTTCGTTCCTATTGCAGGAAATACTTGACCCAGTAAAGTCGCACGAGAATTCGCGCATGTGATCGAACCCTTATCCACGCGGTTCTAAATACCGATTGTCATGGAAATGCGCCCGGCGATCGCCGATTCTGTTTCGGGAGAAGCCACCTTAAGCGAATTATATGGACCCAGGGACACGCGATCGCCAATCCCATCCCCTTATTCCCCTCGTTCATTGCCATCCACCGAGAACGTCGTAATCAACAAAGAAACGTATCGCTCCGTTTTATTATCTTCGCCGTTTAGGGAACACTTAACCCAGAAATGCGACACGAGATCACGAAAACGACCGTGTCCATAAATATCGGAGACCATAATACTGTCTCTTGGTATTCCAGATAATAAAACGCAAGGACCTGATGATTTTTACGGCCGAACGAGCGAAAGCTTTTTTTTTCGATTACGAATGGCGCGTGGAATTTCAGTAGAATCCGTAAACACGCGCCGCAGCCGCTGCGCTTTCAATTAATGAAAAGGTTCGCAGCTATGGTTGACAAATGCCTTTCTTTAAAAAGAAATTGGTATCGAAGATTGATCTCGACGTAGAGTTTTAATCTGTTGGAACGTTCTCGTTACGTCCGAAAAAGTGTCGATATTTTCAATCATTCATACAATCGTCGCGTATTTTCGTACAGGACTCGTCGGGAATATTTCAGAGTTTCTGTCTCGTATTGGGAAAAATTGCGAATCGATCGATCGGTTTCGGCAAGCTGATGCAGATTCGACTGCGCAGAAGCGACGTCCAAAATTTGTGTATCGTTTCCGTGGAATTTTCGCCTATATTTCCGCATAATTTCGCGCCACGCTTCTTGTATTCATGTATTCACACGAGCCTTCCGAACGGAAAGGGTTACCTGGAACGGTGTGCTCGGACGAACGGATAAAGTAACACTTTTCGATGCCAATGGCGCGGGTAACTCGATTTCATCGGAACCCGGTCTCGGGAGCTTCCAGGGATCCCGTGAAAGAGTCATTTCCATAGCTAAATTTTCTTTCTCTCGAACGAGAGCGAATTTATCCGAATATTATCTCCGTGGCGTTACTAGCTCGTCTTCGTTCCTTTCAAACACTTCGTGGTTCGATTCTCAAACGGTTTGGGGGGAGAGTACAGTCTGTAATCTTGTAGCACATTAGTAACTCTCTGTTTATATTTAATAAAATACCACAGAAATTTTATAGAGAATTGATCAAAGAGTATAGAATAACAAAATCCCTCCTACTTCATGAGTTTGCTTTTAGGGGAGAATACAATTTGTAATTTCGTAGTGCAATGATAATTCTCTATATTCATTTAATAAAAAGCTAGAGAAATTGTATAGAGAATCTACCAAAGAGTAGAGACTCAGGAAATCCCTCATACTCCGCCAGTTTTCCCAACCAAAAAGATCTCCAATCCTCCCCCAAGCCACAGACTTCAAAAAACCCTGATTTCTGCCTGATCTTAAAGCACCCCTTTTTCTCTCAGAAGCGCCGCGCATCCATCCACTGCTGACCCAGAGCTTTACCCCGACGTGGATCTCGCCTGCGATCACGCGAGATCACGCCAGCCATCGTTCGAATTCCCGCGAAGTCAATTATTGGCAGCGTTCAGCCACGATTCTGGCTCCGTCGACGAAATATCCGGGGGACCGATGGTCGCAGGCCGCGCGATCCCCAGAAGGACTTTTCCCACCGGCTCGGAATCGAATCGAAGTTGTCCTCGAGTGGCACGAAAGTACGTCCGCGAGGGAGCCCGCGTGTGACGTCGCGAGCGGAAATAGTCCTGGCCAGAATACGATAATGAGTTTCGGCCGACTTGGCTCGCGGCTTCACGCGCCCTTCGACCTCATGAATTATTTATTTAATTGGCCCCGGAAGATGGACGATGGACACGAAATTGCCGGGGATACGCGGCCTATAAACTTTCACGGTGGCTCCCGAACGGCCTCGCGGCGAGCGTAATTTACACGCTGCCGCGGGACGCGGACTAAAGGGTTCTCCAAAAGGGACTCAATGATATTTCTATTTTTTTAATAAATCCCAGATGGGTCCGGAATGTATCGAATTTGTTCGAACGTGGATTTATAACTCTCTGCATTTAATAAAAAAACCAGAGAAATTTTATTGAGAATTTACCAAAGAGTCGAGAAATCCCTCATATTGCCTTCCTTCTTGTATCAAATTACTACTTTATCTAGCCTAACCTAAGTGCAGGTACCAAAACGTTCTCCAAAAGGAGCTTTACGGTTCTTCTATTCTCGACTCTTTACGGTACACGATAATAAAGTAAAAATAAAATTCAAGCTGCACAGAGGAACAGTTTCAACAACTGTCGAACGTGTTTTGACGAATGAAAACTTTAAATAAAATAGTAAAGCTAAACAAAAGATGGGATAATTTTTAACCCACCTAAGTTCAAAGAGTCAAACATTCACCACACCAAAGGTTTCTCCTCGGATACGAACTCAACTGCTCCAGTAAATCCGACGAGCAAATACATTTTCGACTGCTCCGAAGTCGAGCTTGATCCGTGGAGGCGGGGCATGCTGATTTATGCAGCATTGGCCGAGAGAGAAAAAAATTCCTCGCGCTCCTGAAGGATTCATCGAGCGACGCCAGCACGTACTTCTCGCAGATATGACAAAATCGCGTCTTCCCGGAGCGTCGCGGGCCAGAAACATGGAATCCTAAGGACGTGATCCGGGCTGGGTCAAGGATAAGCAGGATGTGACGTCACGGACCGCCAGGAGATCGATATCCTAGCTACCGAGTGGCGTCACCGCAGAACGCACTGTCTGCTCCTTGTTGACCTTACACGTGCCAATTGTCTTTGGACGAGTGTTACGACGCTTCTTCTTCTTCTTCTTCTTTGACACGGGAACGGGTGTTCCACCTCTAACTCCATCCTCTGATTTACATCTTGTTTGCGTCTACTTGGAAAAACACTGGTGGATCCAAACGCGTCGATGTCTGAGTTCTTGTGCAGAGGTACATGTCCTTCTAGTATCCTCTGTACGAAACGATCAAATGTCAGGAAATCGAATAGTGACGTGTGTAATAAATATACAAAAGGCAAACGATCGTTCTGATATCAATTTTGAATGGCATACAAACAGCGCTAGTAGAGAGACAAAGAAGGAGACATAAGACAAATTGTATATACAAAAATATTGAAATATTAACCCTTTCAGACTCGAGTTATATTTTTTGTCTCGTAGTAATGTAATTTAATTTTAACTTCAACTAAAATTAGGTTGGAAAAATTCCCCAAAAAATCCTAATAGTATAGTTTTCGAGGAAAATTCGCGCTAAACAACAGCGTGGGTAATTTTTAAAATTTGTCTCCTCAATTGTGGACGCCAGGTCTGAAAGGGTCGATACTATAATTCTTATCCGCTAAAACGTCTGACATTGTTATCATTTATTTTTTAACGTCGTTCAACGTCGTTTTAACGTCGTTTCGCGTGTGCCCACGGCATAGTTGTCAGGCGAGGTCTTCTTTGAAACGCAGCAAAGGATTATTCGACGAAGTGTGTAGCTTTCATGTTCGAGGAGTAGCATAGAAATCGTTTGGTCCTCGTTGACCTCACGCGCGCCGATTGTTCCATGTTTCTCTTGCCAAGGCTGGCTCGGAAGAAACCCTTCACGGACAATGATTTCTTTCGGTATGCTGAGGGACGATATGTACACAAGCGATCTATTCTGTGGTCGTCAACAAGGAATCCTTTCCTCCGTGATACGTATTCGTGGATTCTTTTGCATAACAGGAACCGTTCCGAATCTCCCGCGACGCTCAGTGAACAACCTTTAGCCGCCCTTGCACCCTTGACACTTTTATGCATTTGGCTAGAAGTCCGATGTTGACCAGACACTTGACACTTCAAAAATTGATTGCACTCTACGCAGATACTTTTCATTCGATGTCGAATGAAATGTTGTAATTGAGACGTTCACTGCACAAATCGATTAACTCCAGCAGTCAGATAAAAATTGTAACATTACTGACGATTATCTTTTGGCTATTCTTTCTTATTAATTTTATATACCTAAAAGCTACATCTGTATTTATGCATTCTACGATATTTGAATTTATATTGAAAAGGGAATTTTGAAATAACAATGTACATTATTTCGTCGCGTTTCTCAACTTTTTATTTACGAGGTCAATCGATTTGTGCAAGAAACGGCTCAAATGGTACAATTCAATGTGCTAAATTCACGCGATTAGTTCCACATTTTTTAAAACGAAGCGAAAAGCACTTTTACTGATCGTTTCATACTTCTCCATATTACATTTAGTGGCACATATGCGATGCTAGATGCGTGCTGTCGTCTACCTCCCAGTAGGAAAATAGAAGTCAAACTGTAGGATCTGTTCGTGCTGATAAACCCAATCAGCTAATGCATCGGTTCGGGCGAAGCACGCAATTCAACCTGTCGATACCGTATGCGTACGTGAGATAAAAAGTCTACGTTGGTTATAGCCGTTGCTCGACGTCCAGTTCCTCGAGTAGTTTACGAGATTTCATATCTCAAAATGAACGCCTGCAAATGCATCGTGAGATAGCGGTTAAAACAAGCAAGGTAAATCTATCGTTTATGAAAAGAAAATATATCTCCCATTGATACTAATTTCCACGCGGGAAAGAATTACCAAGCCCATAGTCATCGATGCTCAATTCCTTTTGAAAAATAATTTTTGTCTAACAACTCGGTGATTCGTAAAAAGGAAAAATGAGAAAATAGTAATTCTGTGCACTGAATTGTTCCTCTCAAAAAAATTGGCGAAACGTCAATTTACAAGAAATGTTCTCCAAACCCAACGAAGCTATCCCTACCTGATAGAAAGTATCGCAACACAAGATTGTTTCATTATGTATGACCTGTATCTGTCTTTCTCGACTGTATACGGAACAGTTTCGACATCTCTGGTCCTGTTCATAGATGCTGAAGTCCTGCCGAACGCTCAGCATGACGGTACGGGGGCCAGCCTTGGACCCGCGCTGCAGAGTGGGTCATCCGGTGTGGAACACTTCCGGTCGTCAACAATCCTGCAGTTGGATGGACCGTCAAGGCCGTCCAGCCTCTCCGCCGCCTGTTTACCCACCTCGCGACTCGAGGTACTGTCCAAGGACGAGGAAGGTCGAGCTCTGCATCGAACCTGGCCAGTCGCTTGGTTTAATGATCAGGGGCGGCCTCGAATACGGCCTTGGGATTTACGTCACCGGGGTCGACAAGGACAGCGTGGCCGATCGAGCTGGACTCTTGGTAAGAATCGATGACCAAGTGGATTCGTACTTTTGCATCTATTCGCGAACTCGATTCTATACCGTCTAGTTAACCCTTTATAGGACAGAACTCTCTGGGCATTCTTTATTCACTTTTTTCGTAAGAAAAAAAAAACGTACGAGCGTAGAAACTTAAACATGGAAAATTCCTGATTCTTCCTTAGTGTTAATGAATACCAACGACCTGTGAAGGGTTAAGGGTAGTTTTGTAGTCCCTGAGTGACTTCAATGAAAGTGGTATCGAAGAATTGATATTTGGTTTTCGTGCATTCTTACTTGAATCGTTAGTAAAATGTATGTTCGTCGATTATAGATCGTTGATCTTGTAAACAGGAGCGATTCGTTGTTCGATCGATCTAATTTTGAGTTCATGAATAAGGAATGGTACCAATTGACTGGTTGCGTAATGTCAGGAAGAATTAATTAGTCTTCCGTGATGGAACGGGTGCAAGCACTTTGATGACAAAAGTGGATCGAAATGGCACTTCACTGGCTCGCTGCTAACGATCGCGAAGATTTAATGGCGTTTGAAAGGCAAGCACTTAGGGGCGCTCCCAGTTTTCGTTCGTGGACCAGGTCTGCCGTGATTGGACGAGAAGGATTGACGATCGCTTTTTCAATACTCGAAACGCTTCGATCTCTCGTTACGATGTGTTACGATATCAAGTTCTTATGAAATGAATTGAACATAATGGAAATTACGAAATTAAAGAAATTAAAGAAATATACTGGGGAAATGGATGGATAACGAGAGAGAAATGAAAGACAACAAAGAATATATGAAGGAGAAATGAAAAGAAAACTCAGAGAGAAATTAAAGAGAAAGAAATATCAGTCATAGTTTTACACTTAAATTTTAAGTAGAAATATGGGATAATACACGAGGATTTGTACAAATTTCAAAATATACAAAATACGTGTTGGACTATTGAGAAGATAGGTAACACTTTATTAGGTTTGGTGTTTTCAAATGAATCTTTCATTATAAATACGTACGTGTGCAAAGTTTATTCATATATATATATATAATGAAAACTTCATCCAAAATGGTCAAGCCTGAACTTGGACAAATTTCTTCGATAGACATAGAGGTTTATTTATAATTAACAAGGGAATAAATTAATACATTCCTTCCATTTGTTTTCTCTTCAGGTAGGCGATCAGATCATCGAGGTAAACGGTCAGAACTTCGAGGAAGCAACCCACGACGAGGCGGTGCAGATACTGAAGACGAACAAGAGGATGACGCTTCTGATCCGCGACGTGGGAAAAGTGCCGCACTCGTGCACCACCAGCCAGCCTATCGTCATGCCAACGTCTAGGTACCCAGATCACGATCCCATGCTCCTGGAGAGCCCTGGAAACCATCGACCACCGAGTCCTTCGTAAGAAACATCTGTTCCTCTGAAATTGCATCGTTTTAATTACCATTACCGCCGTCGCGCAGAAATTACCGCGAATTACCGTTCCAGCGTGTAGTCACAATTAAAAGCTGCTGTTAAGGTCACTTGTGCGAGCCGAATGCATAATGGCGACAAAGGGGGTAGCTCGGGCACCTAAATTATCGAGGCACCATTCGTTAGGTTTCGAGGAACTATGTATAAACGCGCGATTATTTATCGATAACGTAATATGGAAAGTTATCGAGAAATGTAACTTTGAAACAAATGCGTGAAATATACAATAAACCTGTATATATTAGGGGGACCAAAATGTAACGTCATTTCTTTCACATTAAATTCAAATACATTCTTAATAAGTTTCTTAATAACTTTTTGCCATCCAGTGTGCAAATTTTCAATGCCAGATCGATAAAAATTAATGAGCTGATGGATGATAAACAAGTATCGCGTGTCGCAGAAACGAAACTATTTTCCGGTCCACCTAATATATATAAATCTGTTGCTGTTTTGCTGTATTTGTATTTTGCGAACCTTTTTCTTTATTTTTCGTTTAGTATCGCCAGCGATTGGAGACACAGAGGCGGCGTGCACACAGTGTCTGCTGCGACGGCCGCAATGGTGGAGGAAAAGGCGAGGGTGGTCCTCGCGAGGAGCGAGAGGGCTGCGCTTTCTCAGCTCCTGGCCGATTACAGGACCCGTCGATTGACAATCGAGGAGCTGGTGGTCAGTTTGGGCGACTTGTTGAACACCCACGAGAAACTGACCCTGCTCACCGAGCTCAGGGAGCTCGTCGACAGCAAGGACAGGGCCGCCTTCGACGATCTCGTTTACAGCAGGCCTCGAGTAGCCATCGCAAGGGTACGGTTCGCACAATAAACGATATCAATCTCGGAGATATCGAGGACGAGCTATACGTAACAGGGACAACTTGAATTTGATCGGTGCTCGATTGATTATTAAATGAAATACTATTGAAAACAAAAGAAAGATAAACGAATTCGAATCGCGTGAATCGGGATATCAGAGTGAAATTAACTTTTCGGATTAGGTGTCACGCGAAAAAGACGCGGGCGTGTTCGAAATGACTCAGTAATTTTTATTCGCGTTTCAGAGAAAAGGCGACCGCGCCCATTCGGATCTGATAGTGACACCCTCCCTCCACGATCTTCCGGTAAGTGAACAAACAGTCATGCATCGTACACACACGTCCCACGAATTACGTTCACACGAATCTCACCTGTCACACGGTATTTTCTCTCTACTCATCTGCCCGTCTCTTGGGACGTGTTTAGAAACTCTGTCTCTGTCTTTCTCACTCTCTGTTCTGCGTTGTCCACTGTAACTGTTAGATACGTAACTGTTTCTCGTCTCTACCTTTCTGTCGTCGACTTGTCGCGAGCAACCTTCGATGAGATACCTGTCCCGAAGCGGAAGCTGTCACCAGGCAACGCGAAGCTGTTGTTTCACCTCACGTTAGAGGGTGACGAATTTACGGTCCCAACGTCGAATTCCGTCCCTTAATTTTTTTTTGTTAAGACCTCTGCGGTCCGTACAGATAATTACACGTATTATATTAAATATAATATAATATGTACGTGGAATACACTTGACACGCTGACGCAGTGACTGTGACTCTGGCATGGATAATGACGGCGATGAAGACGAAGATGACTACACGCGAGAACAACGATCGCGATGCTGACGATGGACAGTGACAACGACGGACGACAGCGACAACAGATATTAATGACGATGGACGAAGACCATAGACTACAATAACGAAGATATATCCGTACATCGTGCATGTATTCTCCATACCTACGCATATCCGGGCACAGAAGGTGCACTCGCACAAAACCTACCTACCTGCACGAGAGCAGGCCTCGTTTTCGATACTCCTTAGGCCTCCGGAAAGGTAAGTGACCGATCCTAATACGATCCTGATAACTAACCGTCAGCGCTTCCCTGGGACAGGATGTTCTCGCGGGTCTCTCGCGAGGAGAGGACGCGATCCGGTATGCTCGTGTCCCCACCCTCACTTGAATGTATCCAGTTAGATCGCAAAGGATTCCCGAAACGATAAGCGGCCGGAAACGAGTCGAGGCGCGCGCGTGTCGATCGGTTCGGGCAGGAAACGAGCGAACGGGAAAGAAAGAGACGTTTAGCAGACGGAGGAGAACGGAAAGCTCATCGTCGGGGTTGGAGAGGTGCGAGGAGGCGACGGATATAACGTCGACGAGAAGAGCCCGTCCGCTGGGACGAAGACCGAAGAAATTCCTGGAGAACGTCCAACGGGAATCATCGAATTACCCAGACACGTCTCGCGTCTATTAAGGGGAAACGTCGATCCGAGAGACGAACTTTTATTTTTGCTTAATTGCTCTCGGCTATCGCGGTGACCCGTGAAGCATGACTCGGTGGATCCTCCCTGCAACCTCCGTCTTCTTCTTCTGTATTCTTTTCTGTTCGTAGGAGCATCTTCTCGGTCTTTCTTCTGTCGCTTCTTCTAATACTAGTAATACTTCTTGACTACTATCACTCTTTCTCTATTTCTCTCTATTTCTCTCTCTCTCTCTCTCTCTCTCTCGCTCTCTCTCTCTCGCTCTCTCTCTCTCTTTCTCTCTCTATCTCTCTCTCTTTCTCTCTGCTTATGATTTCGCTTAGTGGTAGTGCGCTTTCTGACTATCGTCGCACCGTCTTCGGGCTGCGTCGATGTCGCGTTTCAGACGGAGATGAGCAGAACATTACTCTAAAATTGTTGTACAAGTCGGATTGCAATTTTTATCGAAGTAAATAGAATATTGATCGTAATTTTGTACTTTGTTTGGTACTCGTGTCTGTTATAAGTACTACTCTGTATTTAATATGAGTTTCATTTTCTTTTGTAGATAGAAAATAGAATTACCGATTCTGTACATTTCATTTATTTTGAACCTTCTTTAAATTATTAAAATAAGAGCAAATCTTTTCCTTTTCATTCTCGTCAAACATCGAACTGTATTCATTCTCAAAAGATCCAGTAAAATGATAACGAACTATCGCGTCAAAGAACAAAGCGACAAAGAGTATTGATAGTGACTTTAAAATTTCTTACTTCAAAAGTTTCACGTTATTCTGCCCGTCTCCATTTTTGTAACACCTTTCCAATCGACTTGTCTCGTGTAGTGCTTGAGACGTGACAGTGCACGAATATTTGAAGCCTGAAACAAAACAAAACCACTTCAGGGCAACTCGGCTTTTCAGCAGAACTAGGTTCCACTCTGAAGAATAATTGTGGAAGTAAGAAGTGAAGGGCTTCGAATATTTTCACCATCACGTCCCTGGATGCGATAGGTTAGAATGCTTACGATTGGGATGCGTAGAATGCCGCTATTAGAAGCGAACAGTTTGCCTCTGGTTTTCTTTTCACGCTAACTACATCGGGGGAGACGGTACAAATTGCGACCTTTTCGAACGAGTTCGCCTGAGCTTTGCTGGATTTCTGTTTCGTTCCATCCTACGTCGATCGAGTGTGGGATGAAATCATAAAAATTAGAATATTCTCTGAAAATTTCTTGATATGCTTGCAAAGTTCGATGATTATTCGCCAGAATTTAACACAAATTATGGATCCACTAACGTCCCCGTAATTCATTAATAGCTAAACGAGCAACAGAACAATCTCAATAATTTTCTGTCACCTTTTCCATTTTAGTTACATCGCGAGGAAAACGATCTCGTTTTCGTAATTATATAAAATTCCTCAATTTCCTACGATCTACATTAACTTCCATCGCTTGAAAAATCGATCACACTTACAGGAATTTCAACGTTTAAAGGTCGTAAAAAGTCCATCGTGAATCGACAAGAACGAGTTCGATCGCGCACTCGATCGCAGGACGCTGTAGTTCGCCGAAGATCACGGTTCAGGGGGCGAAAAAGTTTTTCGCGAAAGCTTACTAAGCTTCTGTCGCACGGTGTTTCGCACGCGGGATCGGCAAGTGAAAAAAAAAAATGAAAAAGATCCATGAAGATCCTGCCGGCCTTATCCAAAGCTCGGGCAAGCTCGCTGACGGCCGGTTTCGTAGCCAACGAGTTTAAACGAGCGCCAACGTTAATCTCGAACGACTCTTCGACAAAGTGGTCCCCGTTGAAACGTAACTTTCGCCCGGAAACCACCCCCCGTTTGGGTTTCGTTCGCTTTGTTCTTTGACTTTCCTGTTTTAGTGTCAGCTTCACAGTGATGTCCCTTTACCTCGGTACCTAAAACTTTGCGCTCCGCTTACCAGGCCGGTACGAATCGTGAAAGCGACTCGGGACACCGAGAAAACGGTTGGCCCTTTAAAGGGACGAGCCGATGAATCTTTTGAAATTTTGTTGCACGAGATGACTTAAATTCTGAGGGAAGAATTCAATGATGAAATGAAATCGAAGGTATTCTTGTCTCCTATATTTAGAAAAGAATATTATTATTATTTGTAGTGTCCACGCCTCCCATACCCAACAATAAGGAGTCAAATAAGAACACGAAACGTAGGGTACGGGATTGGTCGCGTAGGTAAAGCGGTCGACTGTGGATCCGAGGATCGTGGGTTCTCGAATCTCCGTGCCTTATTTTTCGTATAGACTTCTACATATTATTATTATTATTAAGGAACACACATGTCTCTATAATCGCCAGTTTAAGTACATATAAAAGTTCAGCAATAATGAAAATATTTCTTTCTCGAATTAAATATAGTTTCCACAATTTTTAGCTTAATATAGAATATAATCGCGTATACTTAATCAGATACTTAAACAGAATAATGACAAGTATATTATGTTGGTCCAAATAATATAGCTTAATGAATATTCCCAGATCACTAAAATTATTAATATTTTGCATCAAAGTTAAAGCTTTAGAAGTATCTCTAAAATGTTCTTAATTGGACAAATTGTTTACGATTGAATTATACTGTAATATGTAAATTAAGACAACGTGGACTCGCGTCGAACACCTTGGTCCGGCAAAGGTTAATTGACTCGAGGACGAGGGTTCGTTTTCGTTGAGATCTGTGGACAAATCGATCGGGTGACCGTTGATTAACGACGACCGAGTTGCCAACGCTTTCATGGTTCACGGTCCTGCGACCTGGCCGCGAGTTTCGTGATCTTCGAACGGAAGAGAGCCGACGGAAATCGTCGTAAATCATGCGTTGTCTGCGCACTGTGACAAACGTCACGGGCGCGACCATGCACGCGACGATGATCGATGATAGATTGCCCCTGAATTGGCATATTGACCCGGTGCTTTTGTGGCTAATTAATCTGCGACTTCGATGACTGGAGGCACGACAGATTGGCGCGATTAATCGACGCGTCATTATTTTCCGCGAACAATTTGAGAAAAATAACGGCTCGAAACGTTTATGAAAAGCTGTACCAGAGTTTTATTCGAATTTCATATATTTTGAGTTATTATTATATATATCTTTAATGTATTTTCAAAGTTAGCTTTTCGGAGTTTCTAAACTTCTTGATTATTTTCCGTCGTCCTACTCCAGTGATCGAGTTCCAAACGCTGGTTTTTTGAAAGTTTTGTTCACGGTTTGGTCTTGGAAAACGACTGTATCAAATCATGCTATCTCTCGTACCTTTCTCATGATTGTCACTTACATTCGCAATGTCATCCCTGAAATACAGTTAAGCTGGACACTTCAAATTTGAAACCAAAGTGGGACGAGAGTATCTGTTTAATTCCGTTTATTAAACGAGCCGAGGAGTTCCAAGAAGAATACTGAACGTACCAATCGATATAATTCCTCGGTATAACACGTGCTTTCTTTTCTTTAACACGCCAAGTAGGGTTTATTTAAATTGCACACATGTGTTCGATCACAGTTTTCAGTTCTTTGCTTCGATTTTCATATGACACTTCTATTTAAAAATTTGGAAATTCCGAGACGTTAAATTTAATCAATTTAATTTATTTGTCGAAGACGAATCCAAGTTAAGGCACCGTTTCACTTAATTTTCGACATTCCGAGACGTTAAATTTAACGTTAAATTTTATATCTTAAAGACGAACCCAAGTTAGAATCGTATAATAAACAGAACGAAATAAATGCGTAATAAATGGTTCTCCACTTTGGTTTTAATTTTGAATCGAACTCGCAACCCCCACGAGCGATCGTCCACGGAATCGGACACTTTGAGGTCGTTGAAATCGAGGGATCGATTAGAGGGAAAGTAAGAACGAAAGAGGAAGTGCTCGTTGGCCGTCGAAACCGGATGCAATGTAGCAATGGAACGGCAAACGGCATGACGGGATCTGGTGATTTCTCGCAGAGGGGTGTACCCGGTGGTTGTTGCCGTCCGGGACGACTGGTGGACGTCGAGGGAGATCCCCTAGGAGTGACGGGACCTCTCCTGCCGCGGGATAACCAGGAATATAGATCGCCGAGCGAGGACAGCGGTCTCGGGGCCGACATGCCCAGGACCAGGTCGAGAAGATTTCAATCGAAAGAGAACACCTTTTGTCGTTTCTCTTCAGCAACCCTTCGAGCTTCTCTTGAATCTCTCGTGACCTTGCGAAAATCAAAATTGAATCTTTTCGTCGCGATTGCCGAGCAAAAATCCCGCTGCAAAGTCAGGTTTATTTAATTCGTTCCAGAGAGTCGAGCGTTCAGGTTTGCCTCCAAGAACGAGCAAGTTTGCGAACGGCGCTCGATAAGTAATTCAATTTCGTCGAGTGTTTCCGAAGACGTAAACAACGATTTGCCTCGAATCGAACCGATTTCTCTTGTTTGACTATTTTCAAACGACTCCTCAAACTTTCAATTTTTATACCGAGAGGGTGTAAATTAAATGGTCGAAATGTCCATTAATTAAATAGATTAGCTGTTCTGGTTCAAACTATACGATATTCTATAATACTCATACTTGCAAAATGAGCTTCTACGACTCCAAAAATCAATCAACGCTGAACGTAGACTGTCTAAATAAATCCATAAACCTCGGACTATATTAAAATGAAAATTCTACCTCGATCTTTCAAAACACTCGATAGAACATCGACCATCCCCTATCGAAACATCTCCAAACACTCCCTTCGTTTCCCCAACAAAGATCACCTCGCTCCGGTATTCTTTCGATATACTTCCTCTACGATTCGTAGCCGGATTCCTCGACTTCCGGAGGGCAGGGACGGAGAAGCCGATGTTCATCCTTAATTGATCAGCGAGTTCGACTGCTAGGGGGAGAAAAAAAGGTGTACCGCGCGATTCCAAGCTCGCCGGGTTAACTGGTAATGGCGTTTCCGTGTCGGATATAAGAGGTACATCGATATTTCATTTCCTAGAAGGCCTGATCTGACTTTGGTATCTATCCCTCCACGCAGCCCCTTCGACACCCCTCGCGGCCGGCGGCAAGAAAGTACACGAGCGTGCAGAGAGTGCGGGGGAGGTAAATAGCAGCACGTACGTGTGAAAACACCGCGTCCTTGTGTCCACGCGTGGGCGGTGGTGGTCGATTCGCGTGGGTGCGCGCAGGGTGTATCGCTGGTCAGTTTTATGGATCAGCCGATTAATTTAGGACGGGGAAGGAATTTTTTTTTTTTATTTTTTGAAGACGTTCAGAGGCCCCTGGGATCGAATTAAATCGGATCAGAAGGTGCCTGGATTTTCCCACTTTCGATATGTTCTTGGACGGTGACGTTATGTTTGATTTCCGATTATATCGATAATTGTTTATTTTCTAATTTACCCCCCGAAAATAGGTCCACGTCGAGAACGAAGGGTTGTTTATATTTCACTCGTTATTGGAACCTAATTGGGTTAACGAAGATATATCGAACCCATTCTCATTCTGATTTACCAAAAAATTGACGTACACGTCGTGACATGAAAAGTTGTTTTGAATTTCCATCTCGACGAGTATCTCGCCCGTCGTTCACGGTTAGCTCCCGGGACCGTATATCGAGATATCATCGAACAGGAACGTCCGCGAGTACACGAAGACTGATAGACAGGCTCCGGACACTTGGCGAGTATACGTGTCGCTCCGCGGAATTGGGCGCAAGCAAATTTCGCTCGAATCGATATCCCGACGGCGCGCGAGGAAAATATAGACAGTTCGTGCCTCCGCGAATCGAAAACACAGGAAAATGGAATTTGCATATTTCGACTGGAGCGATATCGGTTTTCAAACGGTATCGGATTACCAGCCGGGGGATTAGACCCCCGATAAATGTTAACCCTTTTATTGATCGTTCAACAGGATATTCAGATTTTCATATCTAGACGGTTATTGTTCGGATCGATTGATTTCCCCCTTTCCCTACGGTTTTTCGTAAACCTGGTTCGCGGTCGGCTGCAAATTAATCTTTCCCCGAGGATAATATATCATCCCTTAACAAGGGTGGCGCGACAGAAAATTTCCACTGTACACAAATAAATGTGCATAATCATGTGCATAATTTGCATCGTGTTTCCTTATTAATATTCTCGGTTATTTTCGGTGTTCGTCAACTGTAGGATATTATTCTTTCGTTTATCCGAATTCGATTACCTTCGCTTTATTTGGAGAAGCTTTCGTACGACTATCCCCAAATTTTGCAGTTTAAATCAAAACTCGTACGACGTCTAATGAAACGAAATCGGCGAACATTGCGTCACGCGCGGCGATAAATTTTTAACAAACAGCTATTATTGGAGCCATCTATCGTATTTTACGTTCTGGTTGAATACGGTCGGTGCGATTATTAATATTAATAACGCTCGGTTATTATTCAAGTAGCATGCGATAGGTGATATCAATCGCTTCAATTATTTTACAGTATATTACGGTATTTTACAGTATCTCTATTATTTCATTTGTTTTGTGAAATCCACTATTTCTAGGGATTTATTTTTAATTCTTATTTAAAAGGTCTCAGTTCGAGATTGGAAAACTGTTTCGCTGATCACAGGAAAATTCTTCATTAATTTTCCCTTTATCTTAATTTTCTTTCGGTGTTAAATGTTATCCTCGTAAATTGTTCCTTTGATATCGACAGAATTCTGTGATTTAATTATCTCACTTTTTCTGCAATTATTTTTTCAAAACACTGTCCTGCGCCTTCCAGACGTCATTCTCAAATTTTATAACTAACATATCGATCCAATTTCTTTTTTATTTTCTCTTCCTACTGTTTTCCACCAGCGATACGTCTGCAAACCGTCGCGACAGTGGCGTTACTTTCGTTCGATACTATTTCGACGATGTTTGAAGGGTGGCAGAGGTGACAGACAAGTCGTGCAACGTCGTGACAGGTTCCCGGAGCGAATTTCCCAAAATCCTCCCACTGCAGTCCAATAACGGAGCTCATGCGGCAAAATGCACGCCTATAGGATGCGCCAGCAGCCCTTGAAAATTTCCTTCTACGATGTTCCGACGCTGGGTCGTATCCCAGGTAACAGAATGAAACAAATGAGTCCCGAGTGAGCGAGTTAACAGTACCACGGTAATCGTTTCGCGAACGAAACGTACCCTGAAAAGGGTCTCTGTGCGCGTTTGTCGCGGGAACGACAATTAGATCTTCGCCTAATCTTCCGCCTTTTGTTCACAAAGCGAGCCGGTGTCGATCCGATCAAGCGAAATTTTGTACTGCGAGACCTTTACATCGAAACGATTAAAGTTAAATTAAATAAAAATACGTTAAATGCAAAATTAAATATTTAGTGGTTCAGTGTACGTAAAATTGATTGGTTTATAAAAAAAAAACTATTTTTATTCTTTTCCGTGAACGTATCGATTGAAAATCTTTGCTATAAAATTTCTAAACCATTCAGAATTTAAGAAGTGACCAAAGGTCAAGATAATGATTAATCTCTGTAGGAAAATAAAAATAAAAATATATTAAACATATTGCGTACGTTGATCTTCTTCGAATGTTAAGAGGAGTCGATCGAGACCTCGAATGTCCAACGGAAAAATTGCTCGAGTTCTCGAGTTTTCGATTGATCGATGGCACACGTGCGACTCTTAAACTCCTACGAAGGGCAAACGGAAATAGATTCGGGCCGCGTGCGCGACTTATGAGCATCCCGTCGCGGTATACGTTCGTCCATGGCTGGCATACGTGGTGCTCATTAAATAATCGATGCCAAACATATAAATAACCCCCTCAGTCTTCGTTTGTTGCTACTCTGGCTCGTATGTGTTCCATACGGCTCTCCGACTTCACCGGGTAAGCCCAGAAAGTAATCGCGTTTCGTTGTATCGATCTATGGATCTTCCACGAGTCGTTCGCGTAGAAGTCGCTGTCGCAAAGGGGAAAGAAAGGTCACTTCCTGAAAAAGAAACTACTTTCCTTGGGCATGAGAACCCCGATACAATCATTCAGAGATTAAATTTTAATTGGATATCGTGCGAATATAATTGTGAATTTTTAGGAGCGCTTCACGCGAACGGTTGAATTTAAGAAAAAAAAAAAACAGATTGTTATTAATATTTAAACGAACACTAGCGTTGTTGTATACATTATGAATGTTCGATCAATTCGGAAAAATTAATTATTTTATTTCGCTCCACTTATTTCACCTAGTGGAACCAGTTTATTTCGATGAGCTGATCAATAATCCCCTGAAATATTTAGTCAACGACTTTTCGCGCTCACTGGTGGCAAACCTGATCGACGCTAAGCTTAAAGGGATGATTTCGCGTAAGAAACTACAGTGAAAATCTCGTGGAATAAGGAAGCTAGTTATTTATCGATTTCGCTCAAGCAAGATCCTTCGTTTAGTGAATTCAACGTTTCGACATCCTGTTTTAAGTCATTTTCAAGGTTAAGTACAATTACGAATCGGTAGCTAGTAGTCTGTTAGGCTCCTATATACTACGAGGGCAATTAACACCTAAACTATACCTTTGACGTCACGTTCCATACGCAAATTATTCGCCGCTGGCACAATGAAACATTTTCTAAACTATTAGGTTGTCCTAAAAGTTTCTTTCGTTTTATTAATAAGTAATACATACACAATATTTTGCTCCATTACTGTTACAACATCAACATCTAAGGAATTAGATAGTCTATTTATATAAACGCTACCGCACAAAATAATTGAGTGCAAATTACGAAAGAAACTTTTGGGACACTCTCAACCCTTCCAGACCTGGCGTTCACAATCGAGTCTAATGTCCTTATTGTGAATATCGAATGTCCTTATTAGTGCGCACGGAGAAAGAACAGATTTTCCTCGAACTATTTACGATTTACCACACTATTAGGATTTCTTTTTTATTTCTTCACGCTAATTTTAGTCCTAGTAAACTTTAAAAATTAAATTACGTTAGCACGAGAGGAAAAAATAATTCAGATCCGAAAGGATCAAACCAAGGATTAAACCACCTTACCTAATCGCAATTATCCATACCGAATAAAATTCCTGCTCTATCCTCGAGTAAATTCCAAGCCGGAAGTCGAAACGTCGAACAAAGGGTCTCGCCTGCGCGAGACTGATAAAACGATCGAAACGATTCGGCTGTCGAAGTACAGCCGAGGTGGTAGACGTGCGTAGATCTGGCACGATTTCCTCCAAGGCACTTGGGATGCACGGCATCGTTAGATCTAGAGGATTCGTCGCGAGACACGACGGTCTCGGCAGGCCGGGTGGTTCTCAAATCTAAATTTTGGCAATTCCAGAGCGGGCTGCAGGAGGGCACAGCAGCATCAGGTGACGACCTCCGACCTCGCCCTCTCCAACGACGACGAGTGCGACAACCAGGTACAGAAAATCGTTCGAGACACCTCTTTCGCGCCGACCCGGGCGCCTCGATGCCCTCGGACGAAATCCTTCGGCTCTTAGGCGAAGCATTGTGTCACTAGCCAGAGAGAGAGAGAGAGAGTTCCCGTCGATTCCTTCGGTGACACGTGAACGCGGTAAAAGGGATCTTTATCGATTTCTTTTCCAGGACTACGAGGACGACCTGGAGAACGGCCGAGGCCGCAGACACAGCTCTCCCGGCGGCTCGCGCGGCAACCCTAGGGACTACGGCCATCACCATCTTCATCCTGACAATCTGGTGAGTCGATCTACCTATATCCCTTTGGGACATCCCCTGTTTCTTTGGGAAAAAAAGTCTCGTATCGACCCAGACGGAATTGACCATTTCGGGAATTCTCGTGCTCGGCATCTCGACCGAACCGTTCGGTTGAGGCTACGATAAGGAAAGCGATTGGCTGTTTTAACTCTTTACACTCGAGAGGTGCCACTACTAGGTTCGACGCAGCAAATCAATCAGCGATAACACGTTCGTTCGGATTTCATTTCTTTGGAACTCGAAGTGTCAAAAAAATGATCGTCGATGAGGCAAAGGTGACCTGATTCTCGAATCTCGAATTAGTTAAGCTCACCGTTCGTGGAAATGTGTCGACATTCGGTATACAGTCTCATTCGGGTCAGTCCCATAAGTACCCTCTATTTTTATTGAAGAAATTTGTCCTAAACAAATGATAGGTTCGATGTCTCCGTATAAATTTTTCATTATAAATATATAAATGCGTAAAGTTTATGTGTGTATGTATTCATATATTTTATTTATTTGGAAACGTTAAGCCTACGATTTAATTTAGACAAACGTGGTCAATAGAGATAGAGGGATTGGTTATGTGTCGAATGGAAAAGTTTAAGCGCAGCGTTAGAAAAATTTTCCGGACTTTCCACCGTGCAAAATTGAATTCATAACTTCAAACGGCGAGTAATTAAATTTCTCGAAGCTCGAACCGAGTACAATTAAATTTCTCGAACTTGAAAGTCTGTAGACGGCACGGGATTTTCATTTGATTATAGTGTCCACTCGGATTGTAACGTGAAACGTGCTACGGGGGAGAGTGCTGTTTAATTAACGGGGAAAAATACTAACAAATAAAGGAAGAAGCAGAAACGTATAAAATAGATTGATGCAGGATAATAAAACAAAAAATACAGATAGAAATAGGGAAACAAGACAGTATTAAATTACTAATCGACACAAATTAACAAATATCGCAACAGTTTCGACGAGTTGAACAGTTCAGCGTGAGTTTTCCTCTTTCCTTTTAAACCAGGAACTACGATAAACAATTCACCTGGTTCGTACAAATAAAACATCAAAATCTGTTCTCGATCTTTAGGGTAAACATTGTGTGAAAGAAAAAGTCAAGGCTTGGCATTGGTTTTCTTGGAATTAATTCCCAATGATGACTTTCCTTTGGAGCAATTTGACTGGCTAATCCTCGTATCGAAAGAAGGGAAAGGCAATGCACGTGCGTTACGCGTATGGGAGCAGAACAAATGTATAATTGAGATAATACAGAAGTTTCTCTGGGACTATTCATATTTCATGACCGGAGTAGTTAACAAAAATAATAGCGAAACTCGTGGATATGTTACACGTTAATAAGGCAGCTGATCGCTAATTTTACTACTACTACGATTTAAGAAGTGCAGATCTCTCGATTTTTGAACGATACAAATTACGTAAAAAATCTTCGTGAAGAGAAAGGATTATCTATAATATAATCAATATAATAATATAGATTAAAATTGTTTTCAAATCCCTAATTAAAACGTTTATCCTCGCCAGAACAAAACACAATGGTCGCAGGTATTTCTAATTCCTCTTTCATCCTAGTCGTGCATCCTTCGTATCTCTGTTGTCAGCGTTCTACTATCGTTGCCAGCTCACGCAGCTTCTGTGCCTCTAATTCGCATTATCGATTCCTTTTGTTAGGATAGTTTTCCGTTCCGCGGAAGATAATGGGATTGATCGGAGCCAATGAACCGTGGCATTTAAATGAACACGATACCGTTAACTCGATCGTTGTCCCGCAAGAATCGACCAATTAAGGAACAGTTACGTGTAACGAGCCACCCTAATTAGTCACCAGGTCGCGATTGCTTTGGAATACAAGACGCGGCGCCTTGATTAGAAGCTCTAAGTTCCGCGCTCGTCGATATCATCGGCTTGCGACGCTTTCGATTCTCCGATCGCCCGAGACTAGTCCCTCGAATATAATTTCACTCGATCCTCACAGCGTATACAATAATTTCTTATAAATTTTAGAATAAAATTCTCCGGTAATCCGATAAAGAGAGTTACCGCAAAATAATACCTAGTATTATTTTCTTAATTCTCAATTATCGATAAACGCGACAGCCGATAACACGTATCGTCTCTTAATTACAAAATATCGAACGTTCTGGGAATAACGTCCTTGCTCGACTTTATTACTGGGTTAAACAATTACTGCTGTAATCAATGGATTTATTTCTCCTCGCTTGCTGCGTTACTTTATTGTGTTTGGAGATGATCTTGTACTCTAGATCTTCGTTTAAAATTTTTATTATTATTATTATTATTACAAAATCGTCGCGATCCTCCTTTGGTTGCAGAAACGAAACAATTTCGAAAAAGGACTTTGTTCTATATTATACGTTTCGATTGTTGGTTTGGATCCCTTGGTTAATTTATTTGTTGCTTGTTAATTTATTTGTTATTCGTAAACGCGAGAATATCGTCGGTAACCTCGATAAATCATTCAAGTACGGTCACGTCTCGAGCGTACGTCCCGATATCTCGCGAGAACTCGTTCCTGTAAGGACGATGATCCAGAGCGATCGGTGTATCTTCTCACGGGTCCATTCCGAAACGAGCTCGATTTACGGACGTTGATCACGCCATGTCGATCCGCGCTCGCCGTCCCGCGTATATCACTCGTACAAGCGCGCGCGTCTCTCGGTGATCCAGAACCAGCAGAAGGAAGGTGTTCTTCGGGCCTGAATTAATTATCGACGCGCGATCGATCATGGTGCAGCGGATAACGGACGGACCGTTCGTGCCGCGGAACGTCTCTATTTCCACGGTGGTTAGCGTCGATGGACTTTTGCTGGCCTTGAGGGGGGGAGATCGTCGACCGAGCGCGAGAGTTCTTGATATCCTTGGAGAAGAGGCTGAGATTGAGGAAAGGCCACCCTCGGTCTTCGTTTTTCCTTCCACGAAAGACGCTCAAGCGCCTCTCGGTGAATCCCGCGACCAATAAAAACGACCCTGGAAATCGCAGAACAAACTGGGAAGGGCTGATTCTTCGAGGAAAAGCACAATCTGTGTGTTATAATTTACCACGGATTTTATTGTTTTTTCTTCGCTGTGGAATTACCATACTCGAGTAAATAAACATGCTCAGAGTTTATATACAATCGTTTTCAGATCCGTATGTACATATACAATGTCCAATATTGCGTCCAAGTAACTAATTCAATTTCTTTTCCATAAATAACTTACGTAGAATGGTAGCTTGTCAACTAAAACTTAATCTACTCCGTCGTACCTTCAGAGAACGTTTCGTGTGCACGTATCTGCGGGTGAATTAGGCTTGTTTTCTAGGCTTGTTTTCAGATTTTATTGTACTCTTCCTGATATTGCGGTACGAGCTACGAGAATTTACTACGAAAAAATTGCACGTTATTTTTCATTTAATAAAACGATGTTTCTAATAAAGGAATGAGTACAAGTCTTACGCTTACTTTACGATCTACTCGTTTGTACATTTAAATGTGAGCGGGGAAAATAGTTTGCGGGAGCTCATACTTTCGCGAGGGTGAGTCACGATGTTCCTAGAGACGTTACTACTTTCTTCTCGTTGGCAACTTGTACGAGTCAAATAGTTCTATGATGGACTCGTGATTTCGAAATCCCTTTTTAAGGTGTTACTAGTATTTAGTTAACGGAATACAAGTCCACTAATTCTTTGATGAATTCATGTTTTAAAAATCCCTTATTAAGATATTACTACTATTTTATTATTGGCAACTTGTACGAGTCCACTAATTCTTCGATTAACTCATGTTATGTAAATCCCTTTTTAAGACGTTACTAGTATCTTGTTATCGGGAACTTGCACAGGTCCACTAATTCTTCAAATTCTTCGATCAACTTACACTTTAACAGCCCCTTCTTAAGACAGGAGACTCCCATCGAGAAAATAAGCCCCGAAAAGAATCGAACTGCTGGTCCAAGCTGGCCCAGAATACCTCCCATTAAAGCTCTCGTGTAAAACCAACGCACCCTAAAATCGATCCAATCTCCAGCCAAACAAACTCCGTCGTCCGTTTCCTAAAACGATCGTCGACTCTGTCTTCGAGTCGCGGCGAGGGGGAGGGGGGCGAGGGTGTAGACTAACGAAAAGGCGAAACGATTCGCCATCGAATCACGGAAAGGGACACTCGACGACGACGGGGTCCCCGTGACGAGGATCCTCGAGGGTTGTGATTGCTCGATGAATTACGGTGCCCCTTGTCGACGATTAGCCGGTCAGAGCTTGTCCTGGAACGCTTGTCGCAGCTCCTCCGTGGCCTTCGCCACGTCCTGGTTCTGCCTCAGGTGAATTTCCGGTCGCACGTGCTGCACCGTGGAATTGGACCGTCTGATGGAGTTCCCGGTGCCGAATTTCGGCCGTGGGATTCTCACGCGTTGCACGTCGCATAGCCAGGACTCCATGGTTCTCCTTTTTCGGTCGGCCTGAAACAAAACCGGACGGACGATTCCTCTTAATCAGGCTCCGTTAGGACGTGACCGTGATACAGGTAGGAGGGGGAAGAGAGCTTGTTGACTCCGGTAGGCCGTGGGTTTCTTAACCTTTCCTAAGCTCGCGGTTCAGGAATTAGTTAAATTAGTTAATTACTCCTGAGGGCAACCAGTAACCGACCTTCTTGTTGATTTGGCTCTTACTGTCTCTCCGTACTCTCCGCAAACTGTTTATCTTCTGTTTGTTGATTTTTTCTTGGCAGGCTCGCCAACCTCTTCGCGTTCGACGAACGCGCAGTATAAATTTTGCGCGCGAGCCGACTTTAAAAATGGAATGTATACCAGGCAAACTAAACTTTCGCTAATAATTTCAATTCTCGTTTTATCTTACCATAAACGAGATTTATCTTAACGAGATTTATTTAACTATTATTAAAACTGACGAAAATTGATCCTGTTAATTGGCCGTTGGCCTGTTTAATTCCCCTAATCGCGTAAACACGAGCGACACTTTTTTC